ACCTGGGCTGCTGCGACCCTCCGGCAGGACGAAGGAGGCGTCGCCCCACGGTCTCGCAGGGTAGGAGAAAAGGAGAGTGTAACTGTGGCCTGGGACTGGACGCGGACTGTCCAGGTGCGGAGGCAGCGGGCGCAGGGTGGCCCAGTCGGCGTCTGCGTTTCCTGTGGCTCCTGCTCCTGCCGGAAGTGCCCAGGGCCGGACAAAGCCCCAGACTTCACTTCTCGGCCCTGTTTTGCCAGCTTCAGGGCCAGATTCCCTGGAGCCGCGTGTGTGCAGAGTGTAAATAAACGTCTCTGAGGCCACGGTCGGCGAGTGGCACCCTGCGTCCCACATGGGGTTCTTGCTGCCCCTGGCGTGGGTCGTGGGTGAAGGCCCATGAGATCACGGTCTCTAAATAGTCTCCAAGGAGCCAGAGGGCAGAGAAAAGACTTTCCACCTTCCCACGTCGGAGGATTTAAAATACCCACTTTTCCATCGTGGTAGAACTTTCCAGGGGAAGGTGGGCTGAGAAGCTGGCGGGAAACCGGCTCTGGGAGTGCGTGCAGCTCCTCCGGCTTGTCCCTGCGGGTTAGATTTCCCGAGTCCTCATGGTCGTCCGTGGGAGGAGAAGCCCACAAGCCCCAGCAACACTGTACCCGGGGGCTGGTGGTTCAATATTAACACCCCTCCTCGCCGAGGAGTTGGGGTTACCGGAGGTTCACGCCCCAGAGAGCAGGGCTTTGGGAGAACCCGGGTTTCGGGAGGGGAGACGTTGACCTTCTGGGTCTCACCGCTGTTTCTTTCATCAAGAGCAGCATGAGAGGGGACAGGAACGCCAAGTTCGTCCCCCGCATCTGCTGCCTCTCTGAGCTGGGAGGAGGGGGCTAAACCGTCCACACCCTACAGGGCAGGAGAGGCCACCCACCTCGCCCAGGTTGGTCCCCCAGACCCAATAGTCCCCAAAAGGATCTCGCCTCTTGTAGGATCTGCGCTTGCTAAGTTGGGACAGTATTGATGTGCGTGGGTGGGGGCGGGGGGGGAGCAGCGTACTTCAGAGTGAGCCGTGGCTGACACGCTGGAGCACGGGCGTGTTGGCTTTTCACGGACAGGTGTGTAAACCTCAAAAACATTATTAGTGTAATGACCTCATTCATGCTCTGTGTTTGGGGCTTATGTTGACTGTATCCATTTAAGAAATAGATTTATTGAGGCATAATTCACGTATCATATAATTCACCCTTGTAAGGTGTATACAGTTCAGTGGATTTTTTTGTTTTTTGTTTTTTGGGGTTTTTTTTAGTATATTCAGAGTTGTGTGACACATACCACGATTCAATGTTACGATATTTTCATCAACCGAAGAGGGAGCCCACACCCGCTAACAGCCATCCTCCCCCAGTTGCCCCTGGTCCTCCCCAGTCCCTGGAGAAGGTGGCATTATCCCCACTTCACGGAGGCGCAGGAGTTAGCCGTCTTGAGCTGCTTACCTTCTGCGTTCCCTACTACCTAGATCTCGTCCCCCTCTAGAATTTTCTCTGCCCCACGCAGTGTTGTGACAGTCAAATCCACTGTGCGGCATTCAACGACTTCCTGTGTCCCTTGTCCCTTGGTGAGAGGATGGGTGGAGGAGGTGACAGGGCTTAAGCGCGGAAGTTCGCGGGTCAGACTTCCCACGCCGCGTCCTGTTCTGTCCCTTGCAAGGGCTATCCGTGTGGACAGTCGACTTCTGCTCTGAACGTCACTTTGCTCCTCTATAAAATGGGAACGACCGTCTCGCTGGTGGGGAGATCCGGGGAGCTGGCACAAGGAAAGCCCCTAGATTTTCAGCTCTGGGGAAGATGAAAGGATGCACTTCATGTCCTAGGGGCCCTTCGCCCCGAGATTTTCCCAGCTCTGCCGTCACCTGGGCTGGGTCAGGGAGGCTGGTATGTTCAAGGTAAATAAAATGTCACGAAGGGCTTGTTCGGTTCCTCCTGGTTGTGGGAACCATTGTGTTCTAATAAGATACCCCAGGTGGCAGCTAGAAATTCCCACTCACCCGCCTGTCAGCCTGGCCTTGGCCGGGGAGCACTTTCTCATTGTCCTGGTCACGCGGGCCAAGCGCCAGTCTGGGCCTTCCGTCTGGCAGCAGAGCCCGCGTTCGCACCTTGCTCTCCTGTCCCGATGCCTTCCAGTGCAGGTTCAGCTCTTCCAGACGTGCCTGGAACAAAGTGCAGACTGTGGCTTGGAGGAGGGGAGCTGGTGCATTCACGTTGATTCATGGATGAGTCAACGCTAGCCTGTAACATCTGGCCCTCGGTGTCACAGCCTGTAATGAGGGAATGCTTAGTATCGTTTGGCAAGGCCTTCACTCATCAAAGGCCTAATTTTGTTCCCCAAGTCACTATTCATTGTTTTAAAGGCCTAACCAGATCTCTGGTCACATTTTCCAACAAGTTACGATTTTCCAGCGAAGTCACCACCCAGGTTTGTGACTTCTGTGCTGTGGTGTGGATGTTCCGACAGGGGCCATGGGAGCCTGACTCAGTAGAGGAATTGTTTTGGTTCAGAGTGGTGTTTCTTCTCTCAGTGAATTGTCAAAAACAGCTGGCGGCTTCATCTTGGTGGCTCTCCGTAGCCAGGAAAGTCATCGAGGCAAACAGGAGATGAAGGCAGCAGGAAATTCTGTGAGGACGTCCCCCATGCCAGTTCTGAAATTGCTTCTGGAAGGGCCCTGGGAGCAGGGAGAGGAGAACAGGTCAGGGAAGGCTGTCTCGTTGTTCGAGAGTCAAACTCAGGGTCTTCAAAATCCTTTGTGGCTCTAAAAAGACTTCTTAGCTTCTATAATCTCTCTTTATTAGAGAGGGGAGTTTCTTATAGATCATAAGGGACTTCAGTTTGCCTGGCTAGGGGACAACATACTGTCTTATATTGTGGCTATGTTTCGTTGGTCCTAAGATCAAAAGTCAGATTCTATTCATATGCGTTGCATGATATAATTAAGCATTTTCTGAATGTAGTTCTGGCAGTTGTTGACTATTACTTAAGAAAGGGGGTTTTGGGGGACCTGGGGTGGGGATAACCCGTTTCCTTCTTGTGGTCTCGGCGATGCTGTCCACCACCGTGGAGAGCCCTGACCCCCATGGCCAAGGGCTGGGCGTGCACTGACTAGGCCAGCTAGATTCTCTGCCCCCAGACTTTTGGATGGAGATGCAGAGGGGAATGTGCTCAAGTTCATCCCTTCGACAAGTGCGATGAGACAGCCTCCCCCTCACCCCTGCCTTGGCTCCTGTCTGTTTCTGAGCCTGGTTCTCCATCCCCGCACAGGCTTCTCTGACTGACTTGTTAATCCCTCTACCCACTTTCAGTGGGTTCGGAGTTAGAGTAAATTTGAGACACTGGCTGAGACGACCGACTTAGTTCCTGCATGCCTTCTCAGCTGTCTTATACGTATTAATGTGCCTGGTCAATGTCTAATGTGTCATGGCACGCAACAAGTATAATTTGGTCGACCTTACGAACTTGGAGATCTGCAGGCCACACAGGAAAGATCAATGAGCATGATTGGCAATGGTTTTAGAAGGAAAAGTTGGGGACGGGGCCAATAGGGGACGTGCGCCTCATCTAAAGACATTTGCTCCTCAGCTCCAGCTGGTGGCTTAGTGGGCTCTGTTACAATGAGTTTAGTTTGCCAAAGGCTGTGAAGTGGTGGCAGCTACAGCCCAGCAAAGGTGGTGTCCAGAAGAACCGTCTTCACGTGCGGTCGTAAGCTTGGGCTTGCAGGTGACCTGGCCGGGTTCTAGTCCTGCCTCGACTGTGTCCTAGCCGTGTAACCCTGGCAACAACTCTGCCTTTCTGAGCATCAGCTCTGAGAGCTGCACGATGGCAATGGCGCAGGTAATACTGTCCACCTCGTAGAGTGATTGTAAGGACTCGGTGACATGGTCCTGGTCAAGCATTTCGACCCAGGGCCTGGCACACAGTAAGTGCTCAATAAATACTTGCTATGCCTGATGGAGAGAATTCACCTTCATTCCCCAAAACATTAGATCGCCCCAGGTATGGTAGAGATTGTCAATACCCAGGAGCAGGAGCCGGTTGGGTGCTGTTCGTCACTGTACCCCAGGACCTGGCACAACGTATGGACTCAAATACTTTAAGTTGACTACTGAAGGACTCAAAATAGGGAAACTTTGAATCCTTATCATTAAAAGTGTGAAAGACATTATGATACCTCATATACTAGAATTCTATTATCTAGATATGTAAAAATCCATCCACCTACCCACCCATCATCCCATCCATCCATCCATCCATCCACCGTCCATCCCTCTTCCATCCACTACAAGGTCAGTGTGGTTTTACGCATTTGGCTCCTGCAGAATCTGGGGGAGAGAGCAGTAAAGGGCTTCCTCTGTCAACGACGTCAGCCTGGGAGTCTGCCTCCTGACACCTGGCGGGCTCATGCTGCAGTCGTGTAGCCTGGGAATGGAGAGTTTCCGCACTGGTGCCCAGTTGCCTGGCTCAAGCCCTAACTTGGCAACTTCCTGGTTAAATGACCTGCGGCAAGCTGTGCTTCTTCCATGTATGCAGGGGAGGTGGCAATGTCCTTACAACCAGGGTTGTGAGGCTGGAATGAGATCATGTGTGCAGAGCACTCGGGACCGGGCCTGGCGAACGGTGAGTAATCGAGCAGATGTGAACTTCTGTTCCCTGAGACAGCCGGCGGCACGGAGGCCGTGTGACTCCTGCCTTCCTGGACTCTGTCCCCCGAACAAATCTGAAGAGCAACTGTGCCTCGTAGCAGCGCCGCGTCCCCTGTCTGTATCTCTCCGCCTGTTCTGTGCTCTTGCCCCACCACAGCCGCCAAGAGGTCTCTGTGCCTGGATCGAGGTCTGACGCACCCACTCCTGGGGGACTGCTGGACCTCGTCCCGCCTCCCTCGCCCGCCACTGTCCTCTCCGTCAGCGGCGAGCCGGGTGACGGGGCGACTGCGCTGTGAGCTGCCGACCTGAGCCTGCATCTCTCTTCCTCTCTTGCAGGGAGTCAGACCTGTTCCTGCTTGACAGCCGTACCCTCTGGGCCTCCGAGGAGGGCTGGCTGGTGTTCGACATCACGGCCACCAGCAACCACTGGGTGGTCAACCCACGGCACAACCTGGGCCTGCAGCTGTCCGTGGAGACCCTAGATGGTAAGCATCGGCCCCTGCCCCAGCTAGTTCTGACGCAGCCTGTGCTTCTGAACTCAGGTGGAATCTCAGCAGCGTACGTGCTCGTTCCCATCAAGAGTCGACTTCCCTGCCCCTCTGCAACCAGGCCTCACAGTCCAGCCTTTTGATCCCAACCCAAAGCAGCCCCTAGCCCTTTTGCAAGAGGCGACCGCACAGCAGGCCCCTGTGGTCCCACACCAGCTGGGCTAGGGATGCAGAATCTGTGGCCCACCCCGGCTGCTGCATGAGAACCTGCACTTGAAGGGGAGCCCCAGGTGGCGTCTAGACACACAGCAGTCAGAGACATGCTGACGCAGGCTCCTCGGCCTCAGGACATGGCATTCTGGGGTGTCCTGTGCATTGTAGGGTATCCACAGCATCCCTGTTTGCTTCCCACCAAATGCTGGTAGCATCTCCTAGTCGTAACGTCCCCCAAACGTCTCCAGATGTTGCCAAATGTCCCCTGCAGGTTGTAGTGCACCCTGGCTAAGGGCTGCACTGGTGCAGGGCATTAAGCCCCTTCCAAGAAACCCTGAGTGTGGTTCTGAGTCCCAAGTACTTGGAGAATCCGCTGTTCACCTGCCCCTCCCCCAGCACCTTTCAGGCCCCCCCACAGGTAACCTGGTTGGCTTCAGTCCTGTGAGAAGGGCAGACAGGAATATGAGTGGGGGAATAGGGTGGGCCCGGCTGTGCCAGCTTCTCCTTCCCCAAAGTGTATTTCTTATTAAGTGGAGATAGTTTGAGAGTGTGTAGCTTCTTCCTATCCCGGTCTCAGGAAAAAATAAAAAGCGCTTATTTTAAGACAGGTAATACACGCCCATGGCTCAAAACTCAGAAGTTACAGACGTGTGCAGCGGAGATCCTCCCCCCGCCGTCCTCCCCCCGCCGT